TCCTCAGGTGCTTTGGTTCCCACATATGCATTTGTCCACTCAAGGCTCAACAAAAGGAGAAAGAAATAGAAATCATGACATTTTCCCCATAAAATATCTTCTCATAAATCTCTTCCAAGATAGAAAGGGTTATGAAAAATGATGTTCTATTGCTTAATACATACATTGCAAACATACCGTATTTGGTATGTTTAAAAAGAAGCAAATATTTACGAATTTTCTGGATATTAGAAGTCACTGATTAGTTAATTGTAAAATATTTCAGAGTGTTTTTTAGAATCTATGAAAGAAAAACAATTCCTTCAGGGACTTGTGGCTATGGTTTTTTTTTTTTTAATCTATTCAGTCATTTATTCATTAACTTTTTATCCTATACCAATATCAGATAAAATAAAATTTTAGCAATACAGAGATGTGTCTCTCGATTTATTTGATAATTTATTTCTAATATAAAATACTAAAAGTCACAGAAAGGACTTCAATACATTATTAAAAATTCAAGACATTTACACATGTATGTGTTTAATGAATATCTATTGAGTACCTATTAGGCTAGGATTTATTGGTCTAAGGAAGAGAAACCCAACTTAATGTACTTTTATTTTATTCAGTAAAGTGAATCAAAAGTTACCTTACTGTGGAAGGAATAGGAAAGTAGTCAAAATAGTTCTCAAAAATAATCTAAATAGAAAAATCTAATTTTTCTATCAAGGTCTCTCTGCCTTTTTAATTTTAAATTATGACCTCAGATTCGATTTTCCACTTTTCTCTCGCATGTTTGCCTTCAAATTTATACTTTCCTTTGCCTTAATTATTTCTTATTTTCCCTATTACATAATGATTATTTCTATTTAACTTACCCTTCCCTACTACACATAGAATATTTCTATTTTTAACTAACACTGGTTAGATACCTTTATAAACATGCCCACATGTTAATTTTTCCAGTTGGATTTTTTTCTAGGAAGTTTAGTTTCTTGGAAATGTAGGGGATTTTTCTTACACAAGTGCCAAACATCTGCATGATTTAGCACTAAAAGCTTTTTAAAAACTTGATTTTAAAATAAGGAAATCTTAACTGCATTTCACCCAATTTGATTTAAGAAAGTCACAATCTTCTTTTCTCCCAGAAAAAAAAAAAAAAAAACCACAGAGAGAGAGACTTAATGACATTGCCAATGTACATTACAGAATCTCCCCATAAGTCTCAGGAATAAAGAGGTGTGTTCCCCTGCGGGAAGCACCACGTTCAGAGGAACAGTTCCTAGGTCAATGGGAACCATGATGTTAGGCCTGCCATCCACATGTCACACCAGCCCACTCAGATACTTCTTGACCATTTACTGTCCCAGTGTTCGTTCTGGTTCTCTTCTTGAGCAAAGACTGCTTAAAGTCAGAACATGCATCTTGTTTAAGCCCTTTGGTAAATATACGTGAAAGGAAGAGAAAAGTAAAGACTGGTTTTAGATGAAGTTTCTGATTTTCTTTATGTTTGCTCAAGTAACTTATGAAATCTGCCCCTTTGGGTATTAATAGTGGCCTGAAACTTCACAAGCAGTGAGGGAATGATGAGAAGAAAATCAAAGAGGCTCAGCTTAGTACTTCATGGCCCTCTAAATTTTATATTGCCTTAGCCAAAATGAATTACATTTTTGTTTAATAGAATTAGAACTACAGAAGGAATAAAGAAGTGTTTGAAGCAAAAGCATCTTCTATTTGTAGATGCTTGATTTAACAATGCCAACCAGCTATTTTGTTTAGTGGATTACATTTTTGTAATTCACTGCTGTAATGGTGTCTCTCTCTCTCTCTCTCTCTTTTTTTTTTTCTCAAGAGTCTCTTTTTTTCCCCAAGTCTTCATGGCAGGAATGAACTTGTTGTGCAGTACATGCCCTTTACATTAAAGAGTTCTCAGTGAGTGGTGCTGTGTGATGGGCTCAGTTGGAACTCGAAAAGAAATAACCACTTGGGAGCAGTCATGAAGCATTGGCAATGCATAAGTAAGGCCATGCTAGCAAATCATTTACTTGACAATTCAGACAATATTAAAATATTTATATAAATGGAAGAATCTGCCAATTTAGGAAATGACTCATTCATTCTCTATGTGAATGTTAGCTTTAAAAACAGGCAAACAAACTAGATCATGGCTAATCATGCCACAGGGTATTCATTAAACTGTGTTCACTTAGGCCAGAGTGAATATTGATTGGACAGGATTCCTGGTGTTTCCATATGATCGCTCTGTTCCTGCCTGTTAATATTGCTCAGAATTTCTAAAAAATGCAATTCATTAGTCACACTTTGAATCATATCACCTTAAGATTTTGGATACTAAACTTTATTCTCTACATGTTAGTCTGCTCAGAGATTTAGTTTCTTTTATTTTTTTTTAATTTTTAAAAGCCCCTGACGGTTATGATAGTCAAAATCGGTTTTGTAAAGTTGTAAGAAAACAGTTAAAGCTGTATCAGCACTACTAAGACTGAATTTTTGGTACAGCATTATTTTCTTTCTAAAGAAGACACATGAGCTAAATACATTTCTGGAAGCAAATGAAAGCTTCTAGTGTTGGCAGGAGCTACCAGTAAATACATTCCTAATTACTTGTTTCTGACCGGGGTATCTCTGAAATACAACAAAAATGGCCATTTGGAAGCTGTCATTAATTGGCAGGTCATCAAACAAAAATCATTCTCATTAATCTTAGTTTTGTTAAACTCATTTCATCCCCATAGTTGGAGGGGTCTGAGCAGGTGATATAACTAGCATAGCAAAAAAGGTCACTTTCTCTGAACCCCATATGCATAATTAATAATTAACTTCCAGAGAGGCTCCATAACCAACATGTCAGTAGTTTGAGATTTTCAAAGTATAATATGAAATGAAGAGGAAAACTAGTATTTTAAGCACCTACAAATATGATAGAGCAAACCTGAGTATGAAGGAGACTCAAAAACCCCCAACCCTGTGATCTCATGGCAAAGCCATGTTATTGAATGCTATTTTTTTATTTCCAAGAACAAACTTATTTAGTAAAATACACGAGAAAGCAGTATATAGGAAGGTGTATTATTTAGACAGAGCAGAAGCTGGATAATCCTTTTATGTGCCTTAAAACTTAAAAAAAAAATGTGCCTCAAGAAACCTTATAAATACCCTAAAATTAGTATTTTCTCTAATGTTTGATAAAGTTTATACCTTAAAAATGATATATGCGTCTTTCCCTTATACCAAAAAGAAATGAATTAGATTATGGTTCTTAAGCAGTGTTTTCCAATCTGATAAACCTGAAGATACATTCAGCAAATGGCTCTAGAACCTCTCCAAGCCCCAAAAGAGTTCATTTGAGGCCACCCCCCCTCCTCTTCCGGAGCAGAATTTCATGGTGAATCATCAGAAATAAGTGAAAGGATATGAGTGGATAAAAGTAGAGGTATGTGTAGGTAATAAGTGCATGTTTGACTTTGCTCCTGGATGTGTAGCTATATCTACATTTCCTGAAACTTTTAATAAGAGACAGCTCACTATCTCTTCAACACCATATTCCTGCTTTACATCCTAGAGGTGATCACAGCTGGGTCAATTGACCTTAGTCAAAATTTAAGTTTCTTAAAGCTAAAGTGGGAGACAAATTCCTGGAAGCCTGATTTCAGAGCCTTAGTGTGACTCCAGTGCGTTTAGGTCTATAGAAATAGACCATTACATGCAGCATGTAACCAGTGTGATGTATAGTTAAGTTAGCATGTTGGACATGTATTGAGTACTTGCAGTGTGAAAGGGATTGTTCTAACCAATTTGCACTTATTATCTCATTTTAGTTGTCAAAACAACTCAGTGGTATAGGTACTATTATCTCTATTTTATGGATGAGGGAACCGAGATACAGAGAGGCTAACAAAAGGAGCCCGGGGTCACACAGATACTAAGAAGCAACACTGGGATGTGAGCCACACAAGACTGTTCAAGAGCATGTACTACCAACCACTATGACATACGACTTCCCAAGATTGGATACCGTGATATTTTTTTTTTCAGTAAAATTATAGCTTTCCAAATAATTCCTGATAGATATGATAGTATTCAGGAAATGCCTTCCTGTCATCACAGGCATTTTCAGAGCTAAATAAAATGCTGATAACATTACTTTTCCAATTCCATTTACCAAACTTCAGGCAAGCTCATTAGCATAAGGCTCAGGTCTTTTTTTAATAGGAGATTTTAAATATATTTCATCAACGGTCTTGATTGTAATAAAATGTTTTTGCCATGTTTATCTGATATTTAATTATTAAAGTTCATGTCAAAGTCTCCCATCTAGCCTTTCCCTCAGGGATACTGTTGGATTTGCTAATGAATGATTATAAATTTGTTCATGCAATATAAGTACCAATTATTAACCTTCCTCAGACATGACACTGTATATTTAATAAATATCAGTACTAAATTTTTGAGGTGATTTAAGTTCTGTTTTTCTTTTATTAAATTTCATTCTAAACCTTTAAAGCACTCAGACTCATCTTCTGGCAAAATAACTTTATTTAGGCTGTGATTTTTATTTATTTATTTTTTTAGGCTGTGAAAAATTTTTAACTGCTACCCATTCCTAAAGGAGTCACTTTAGCTTTAGTTTTAAAAAATGGTATCATCTTACCTTCTTGATTTTATGTCAGAATCTTTCAAAATACATAAATCTATTAAAGTGTCTTGAGTATATCATAGGGAACAATGGATTGGAGCCCCTGCTAGTGAAGTGAGGTATCTGGGACTATAATCAACATTTCAACTTAATTGATTAAAAAAAGACTTCTGGGTATATCAATACGTGATTTTCAGGTTTTTTCTTATAATCAGTCTCTTCACAGGGCTTGATTATTTTAAATCTTCATTTTACAACCAGCTTGGGTAAAAAGTATATCGTTTCCACATTCATTATCAGATGTTGTTTTACAGGCGAAGACATCTTGAAAGATTATTTTTTTCTATTTTTGTTTTTACAGATGTTCGAAGAAGAACAATTTATGAATACCACCGAGTAGAGCTACAAATGTCAAAAATTACCAATATTTCAGCTGTGGAGATGACCCCATTACCTAGTAAGTTACCATGTGAACAGGGCTAGGTGGAAAGTTTAATGATCTGATCTGTTTATGCATAAGTATCTTGCTCCTGTGTGTATATGGGGGGTAGGAGGGTGATTTTAATTTTGGTTGAGCAATATTTTTTTTTTTAATTTCTCTCCATGCTGCCAATTAGTCTTGATAAACCTATTCTGTCCTGTTTCCTAGCATGCCTCCAGTTTAATGGTTGTGGCCCCTGTGTATCCTCTCAGATTGGCTTCAACTGCAGCTGGTGTAGTAAACTTCAAAGGTAAAAAAGAGTAATACAGAAAATTTAAAATTTTTACAAAGACTTGTTGCTTATAACTCTTCCATTGAATTTTAGATGTCAGGTGTGTCGATTAGGTATATATGAACAGATGTATACATGTAAAAAAAAAAACAAAAAAACAAAACCGATGACCAAAAGGCAAAAAAATGCTCAGGATTTTAGGGAATTTTAGTATTTTCCTTTGATCACTCAAAATTACCAAAAACCTTCAGAGTCAATAAAATAATTATCTGATATACATTTATTATCTCTATGGAGCTTAAACTAGATGGTGATTGTGATTGATAGGTCTATAAATTGATGCTCTTGGCCCATATTCTTCAGAAAACATGACATGACATAACATTACTCTAACAAGGATGGTGTATGCATGGTCACATGCACATTCTTAGTAAAAGTGAAACTAACCAACCTCTACAGAAAAAGAATGCGCGGTCTGATTTTTCATGAATCGCAAAAAGGAGTTTTTAGTCCCTAGAGTTTTTCAGATGATCATTTGTTGGAAATAAGGACAGAAGACTTAACTGTGTTTTCTTATTCACTCAATCATTTTGTGCATCAGTTATAGCCCAATCAATGGGAAAGCAGCAGCAAATCATACAGATGTGGTCCCTGCTCCAGTCCCCCCCATAGAGTTTACAGTCTGTCTGGGAATAAGTCCCTTTCCACCTTCAGAGTCTATGAAAAGTTCTCCCCACAGGTGAAGAACCAAATCTTCAGGCTCTTTGTGTGTTCATGTTGCATCAGAGCTTCCTGTTGTGGACCAGCCTCTGTCTTATCATCTTGCTGCAGCATTTGCTCTAATGATAGAGGCATGGTCGGGAATACGTTATTGAAATGTTATTGAGGTATAAAGAATAGAATGCCAAGTCCTTGATAATAAGCTGTCAGAAACATGTTTGACTTGCTAACTTTGGGGCAACCAGTACAGTATTATGGTTAGAACAACATTACTTATTATAACCTCTGTTTTGTTTTCAGTACAACCTGTTCCCGTAATTTCCTTTGTGCCATGAATGTCAAATAACGAAAAAGCAAGCAGGAGATTAACATTCTTAAAAATAGATTTTAACTTTCCTGTATCTCCAGAGTGGAAAGAACCGCTTTACAATTAAGAGTTTGTTGACATTCCATAAAGATTACATGCACATTGGAAGTTATTCAAAATTGGTTTAGATGACGCCTAAAATACAGCTCAGGAGATGGCACTTCAATATGTTTAGTTAAATAATACTGAGCTCACACATGAAAAACTCCCAAAAGAATTAAGTAGAAGGCTCTGGCTTGAGGTGTGCACCTAATTTAAGTTCCAGTTCAGTGCTCACCTCCTTTGAAAAGTCTCTCTAAACCACAAGTCTATGTGAGGTGCCCAACCCTGGTGTTTCTCGGACATCCTTGGCAAAACTCCATCATCAGCAGTCACCATAGGTCTTATGGACACTTGCTCGTTTGTCTGTCTCCTTTGCTAGGCTGTGGCTTTATTGAGGGTGATTGGTCTTTATATCTCCAGAACCTAAGAATGTACCCGGTACTGCAGAAAAACGGATGAATGAATGAATGAGCATTAGGTTCCAAATGAAGGAATCATGATTAGATTTGTCTGGGAACTAAGGGTTTCTGAGGATGAGAGACTTTCAATGCTGAAGCTAGGAGAGTCAAAGGAAAACCAGGAAAGTTAGCTACCCCAGCCAGATTACCATTAGGATAATTCTCAACTGAAATAACATCGTTGTAAATGAAGGTTTGGGACACTAGTCTAGAAACATATCTTCCACCAACCACTTCATTATTTTTATAAAATATTTTTGGTGAAAATATACATGTTTATATATTATATATATTATATTATACATATAGTATATATACATATGTATGTATAATGTAATGTGTAATAATACATATTATTACATGACATAATACATGTAATGATACATATATTACACATATAATATACATATATATTATATATGTGTGTTTAAAATTATGTTTGAAGTTCCAAAACAAGCCATTTTGCATTGTTGCAAATGGCATTATATTAATACTCCCATTTTATTGTGAGATTTCTCTGCCAGACATTGTGCCAAGGAATTTTCAAATATATTTAGCTTGTGCAAAATTTTTACAGTGGGGGCAATTGAGGCTTACAGGAGCCAGGTTGTTTGTGCAGGGTCTTATAGCTCTAAAGTGATAAGTTTGGACTGAAACTAGATCTGTGTGACTCCCGGCCTGTGGTCTTGACACCTCACCCGTCCTGCCTCACACCTGCCAGGCTGCAGATGCACTAAGCAAGTTAATCTTCGTCATTTCCTGAAAAGTAGTAGACATACTACTGAAAAATAAATATTTGTGTAATTGAGGCTGCAAGAAAATTGCCTGGTTTTGAAATTGGCATAAAAAGAATGCAGAAGAGAATCAAACAAAGCATAAGGCTTTTGTGTATTATTGAAAGCATCGTTGTTTTAAAAAGATTAACTGAAAAAGGGAAAGTGGTGATGCATATGAATAAGGAAGGAATTCATCAAAGAACACTACTTTAAAAACTACAAATTTTCTGCATGTTACCATTTGATGTTTTGCTGAATACCAAACACTGGTTTAAAATCTTGGATTTATTTTTAATTCTTCAGAAACTCAGTTATATACATATCAAAACCTGCTTAATTAATTGGTTTAACTATGGCTCATTGCACTTTTGTTCAATTTAATTTCCCCACTGCATTTTATTAATTTCTCCTTAGACCTGTGTGCTTCAAAACTTTGCTTTTGCTGCCCGGAAGCATTTCCCCAGACTTTAGAACTTTTATTAACAAGTTCAATAGAACAAGAGAAGTCTTATCCTAAACAGCACAAAAATTGCCTCTCAGATTTTTTTCTTCCATTCTTTTTACTTTCTCCTTTGTGCTCATTTACCGCTGAATGATAATCAGTTGGTGGTGATTATTGAACTCTCAAGTTGAGCTTGCTCTAAAAAGATAAGATAATTTTAATTGGCTTGTTTATTTCCTTTAATTCCTATTTTTCAGGAAGCAAAAACTAAGGCAAAATGTTTGTAATGGCTTATCCCAGGTCTAAAGGAATTTGAGTTATAGAACATTTAATGAGATCCATGATCAAAAATGTTTACTTACAATAGGTGACCCATTACTTGTAGGTAAGAATGTTTTTGTTTCTTCACTGAAAATTGAGAGGACCTGAATCAACCACTTTCAACCATACCTCCTATTTTCACTCCTTCAGCAAAAATTTCTGAATGTCTTTGTGTTCAAGTTACTGTCCTAGATTATGAATTCAGTGGTAAACAAACCTCCTCATGGAGCTTACATTTTTAGCATAAAGAGAAAGAATTTAAGCAAACAGATTTGCAGAAAATAGAGTTGGGAGTGGTGAGTGCTATGGCAAAAGAAATAAACAGAACATTATAAGGGAAAATATAGCAAAACCAGTAATAATAACAAGAGTTTATTTGTTGGTAACATGCTAAGCAACCTAGCCTTTTCGAAGGGACCTTGGTTTCATTAGCCTTCAGTATCCGAAAGTCTATTTTTTAATTGAAAATATATTTTGGTTCTGGGCACTGGGTGGCTCAGTCAGTTAAGCATCCGTCTCTTGATTTCAGCTCAGGTCATGATCTCAGTGTCCTGAGATCAAGCCCTGCATCTGGCTCCGCACTGAGTATGGAGCTTGCTTAGGATTTTTTCTCTCCCTCTCCCTCTGCCCCTCCTCCCTGCCCCCACCCCCTGCTTATGCTCACTCTCTCTCTCTAAAAAATATATCTATATATACATATATAGATATGTATATATATATATATATTACACATATGTGTGTGGGGGGTATATGTGTGTGTATTAAGTATATATATATAGGCTCTTAAAATATTCATTCACTCATTCATGTACTTAAAAATGTATCGAATGCTTTCTACACTAATCTAAATAGCAAGCACTAGTATAAAGACTGAGGTAGTTCAAACAATAATCAGGTATTAAAGCCAAAGCTCTCATGGAGCTTAGAGTTTAGCTTATTAAACTGGAAAACAAAAAATTAATAATTAATTAAATTAATAATTAATTAAAAAGTTGATGATGAGTGATCTGTTGAGTTTGAAAAAGCCAGTGGTTGCTCTGGACTGGGTGGCCAAGAAAAGTTTCTTGGAGGAAGAGACACTTAGAGCTGAATGATTGAGAACCAGCTACATCTACCAAGGTGAAGGCAAAGAGTATTTCAAAGGAACTGGCAAGTGCAGTGGCCCTACAGTGGGTTCAAGCTTGATCTGATGATGAAAGGAAGAAGTGCAGTGAGTTGGGAGCATTGAGGGTTGAGCATGAAGAGAATGGTATCAAATGAGGTCAGGCAATTTGCAAAGCACCAAGACATGGAAGGCTTTGTAAGCCAGGAAGGGTTTTATTTATTCTCAGGGTGAAGGGAAGCCTCTAGCTTCTAGAAGAACTTAAGCAGAGGAGTGATGTGATTTCATTATATGTTAAAAATAAAATTCTGGAGATGCCTAGCTGGCTCGGTGGGTAGAGCATGTGACTCTTGATCTCAGGGTCATGAGTTTGAGCCTCCCGTATGGTGTAGAGTTTATTTAAAATATTAAAAATGAAACTCCGGCTGTTCCAAGGAGAATAGTTACTTTTTTGGTGTGTGTGTGTGTGTAAAGATTGAAAAGGAAGAGAGTAGTAGAGAGTGTGCTCAGTAGTCTGTAGGAAGAATGACAGCTGCTTAGACAAGGATGATAATTATGGGGATCAGGAGAGATGAATGAATGTGAGATATATTTGAAAGGAGACAAATTACTTACTAATGGATTAGAAGTGAAGAAAGCAGGAAGGATAAGAATCAAGGCTGCTTTCTAGATTTTTATTTGAGTAATTTGGTGGATCCTGGCATTCATTTTTTGAGATAGGTAGGATGGCACAAGAAATAGAGTCAGGGGTGGGAGGAAATAAAGAGCGTGGTTGGGGACAAGTTCAGTT